GGGGCCCACTTCTTTCTGCTGACAGTAAATATTACTGCACATATCTCTGGGCCTCTTGGGAGAGGTGCTCCAGAAACCCTTCACAGTCCCTGGAGGGTGGGGACAGCGGGCGGGCGGAGGTGGCTGTGTAGCTGCGCCCTCAAAATGGACCGTTTTCCTCCCCAGTTTCCCTCAGGGTGTCTCTGGGCCTGGGGCAGGGGTTCCTCTGCAGCCGTTCCCTTTCCCAGCCCTCCTCCCAGCAGATTTCAGGCTTTGGGAGGCCCCGGGATCCCTAACGTGTGCAGGGCTGCTGCGCACTTCAGACCCAGCCACGCGGGCAGCCCGGCCCGGACTTTGGCGACATCGATCGGTCCGCGGTTTGACTTTGTCCAGCTGGAGGGAAGGAGGGCGGGGTCGTGCCCCCCCTCCCCCCACCTGCGGTTTGCCTGCCCAGGTAGCCCGCGGCCACTTGTCCTCACTGCAGCCTTTCCTAGGCTCCCCGTGGGGGATTTATTGGTGGGACATGCGGCACAGCCCTTACCTTCACCCAAAGGAAACCTCCAACCAAGTAAATGTTTGTCCAGACACATGTGCGCAGAGATATGCGCGCGTCCGCGCGCGCGCCCCCCCCCCAAACACACATACTACACTCACTACAGTAGAGGGCTCCGTGGAGAATGTGATTTTGTTCTCTCTCGGAATGACCGGTCTTGGGCACAGGGTGGACATGCTCAGCGAGCTGCCTCGGACATCTCATTAATGTAATCCTCCCTGACAGCGAAGGGCGGGGCTGGGGTGGGGCCGCTGGCCACTCACTTTCACTGCGATCTGCACTTTCCTCCTCCCGTGTTTGTTGAACACAGTTCCTGCTTCCCCTGTACATGTGCGCATAACAATTGGGTGAGGAAGGGCAGACCCCAGGGGCGCCAACTCCAGGCATCTGATGGGTACTTGGGAGCAGCCTGATGGTGGGGCACCCCAGCCAGCCCTCCTTGCAGGGGGGAAGCTCCTGGAGCAGGTGACTGGACCCCTGTCTGTTGTGTGGCTGCCAGTGTGGTGACCCAAATATGCAGGAATAAGCGTTCCTTTGAATAAGCGTTCCATTTGACAATGAAATAATCCTGTTTACCTTGCTAAAGTGAGACACTTGAACCACATTTGTAAATGAAAAGTTAGTCATCAGTACTACAAACCTGAAAGCAGTGATCACTTGAGTCAGCCCTGTAACCACTCAGTGTTTCCCATTTGTCAGAGATCATTCTTCTTTGTCTACTTTACAGGGATGTTTAAGTAAAAGAATTCACAGGGAAGCGCTTACAAATTTCTAGGGTTAAAAAAAATGTATGGCTATTACATCTACATCAGAGCACCTAATTTGAGAGAGAAAGAGAGAAGAAACTGACGCTGGCCACTGCGCAGGCCATGTTATGTTGAGGCCGATGGGGACACCGATCCCAAATGCGGTGTGGAGTTTGTGTGTGGGGCGCGCTCGAGGGGTGGCTCTGGTGGCAGTGCAGGACAAAATCCAGACCCGGAAAAAGACGGAGCGGCCAGGCTGCGAATGTGGAAGAGCCACAATCCACTTGGGCTACTCTGACCACCCTTCCTGCTGTGATGACTTTGGCTGCTTTAGACAATCTCCTTGGGCACAATCCAGCCCTGATCCAAAGCACAGTTCACTCAGCTATTCCACAGCACGTGTGTATGATGACATCCAGGGGTGAATGAGGGGAGTCTGTCTCCAGCCTCACGGGGCTTGCATTTGCTAGTGGGACCAGGGGGGGGTCTCTCCTCATGGAACAGGTAGTAATTACCTGTTGATCATTATGCTGGGCGAGGCGAGAGGCACTATCTAGCTGGGAAAACACAGCATTCAGATAAATGTTAGCAGGTGACCCAAGGGCGTAAGATGACCAGTGCAACCAATACCTGCTTTCAGAAGGGAGAGCTGACCGACAGTATGCTGACTATGCAGAGATGTTAAATGGTAGGCAGGACAGAGACACGCGTGAGAAGTCAGGGGCTACTCCCCTGTGGAGTCAGGGGTTGGCTGACTGCTTCCAGGTACAGTGAAGAGCCCCTTGTTGTGGATGAAAGGGTTTGAGAATCAGGGTAATCAGAAATCAATTGAGGCCAGATTAAGGAGGACCTTGACGTGGGGTTGCCAGATTTAGCAAATAAAAACATACTCAATGCCCAGTGAAATGAGAGTTTTAGATAAACATCGAATAACTTTTAGTATATGGATGTCCCATGCGCCATTCAGGATAAACTTATACTAAGAAACTATCCGTTGTTACCTGCAATCCCAATTTACCTGGGCGTCCTGAATCGCCTGGCAGTCCTACCTGGAAGGCAGGTCCAGGGAGTGAGGACTTCCTCCCACGTGCACTGGGATGCTGCAGAGACACTGCTGATATCCTGCCCCGGAAGCCCACGGCCCACCGAGTGCACTGCAGCCTTGCTGGACAGCTCCGCGCCACACCGCAGCCTTTTCCTGTGTCTTTCTCGCTCCTGAAGGGATCCTCCCAGATGGTGCAGGCTGGGCTGGAAGCGCTGGAGTCGGGATTATGCCCTATGGGGCAACCCTCAGCCAAGGAGGGATGCAGGTGGACAGCTGTGCCGGACAGTTGTGCCGTGTGTTCCTCAGGACACATCAGAGGGTCCCCGCAGGGTCCGACCCAGATGCCCTCCGCGGTGGTCCATTCCTCAGTGTGCCTTTGCTGCCTCTGTCTGGCTTCCTTGCTTCACTTCCCCCTACTCCCTTGGATATACTGTTGAACCCAAGCCGTTGTCTCACCGCCTGTTTGGGGGAATCTAAACTAAGAAGCAATTAGAAGCGACGCAGACCACGTTTCCTGAGACTCAGCCCGGTAGCCATGTGCAAGGTGGTGTCGTGGGAAGAGGAGCCAGTGTCAGGGGGAAATGATGCAAATGCTCCGGAGAAAATCAGAGAGAAAGGTCCGTGGGCTGAACGACAGTGATGATAAGAGGGAGGTGTGAGACATTCGAAGGAATGCCCCTGGGTGAGTTGCAGTGTCTGATGAATGGCAGGGGAGAGGGGAACTGGGTTAACCTTATGGCTTCAAGGTATTGGGTGTAAGGAGCCAGTTCTTGTGCGAAATGATGAGTTCAGTCACAGCCGTGGTGGACTCGAGCTGAGAGCAGCACGTGGAAGGGAAAGCCCATCTGCTTCCTCATCTCCCAGCACCAGGTGATCACTGGGGCCCAGAGAATGCCGTTTTCAAGGACGTTTGGGATTCTGAGGAGTGGCTCCCCAAGGATGCTGTGGCTCTGACAGTGCTGTGGGCGGGCTCCAGTGGCACTCAGAGGGACAAGGCCTCCTGGGGCCTCCAGTGTCTAAGCAGCTTGTCTCTTCACTGAATTGGATCGAATCCCTTTTGGACACGATCGGCCTCAGTCTGTAACCCCGTGTCTGGTGCATAAACAGAACCGTGGTCTTGGGGGCTTGGGGGACATCCCTGCAAACCTCCAGCCCAGGCTCTGATGGTCTTTTACCACCTCGCCCGCCTCTAGGGCCTACCGGTAGTGGAGACCTAGAGTGAGTGATGCTGGAATTACTAACTAACGTAATTTATAAGTTGAATTCGATTGAAAGAAGAATGGCTCCTAGGCCTAACGGAGGATGTAGCCTTGGTTGACTTTAGCTTCTTCCTTAGGGGGCATGGAGCCACTTTCTGGGAAAACCCTCTAGGATTTTGTCAGGGGAAAAAGAAGGTGCGAGAGAGAAAGAAAGAGGAAAGACAGAGCTAATTCCTTTTGGGGTTGTGCTGGGCCTTTAAAAGCAGCACGGTGGGTGGGTGCAGTGTTTAGAGTCCTGGTGAGTTGGCACCTTGCTTTAGCTCCCTACTCTCAGCCTTCAGTGCTAGTGTAAAGCAGGAATAATAAAGAGGTGGTGGGAATGGCTTTAGCAACTAACTGAGAAGCCTGGCTGTGCGTGGCGCCTGCCAGGACTTTACCAGAGAAGCGATTGCTGGGAACAAGCCTGTTCTTTTTTGTTGGAGAAACAGTGGCATCCCCATTAACGCTGACATCCATATATAGCTCAGACATATTTTAATTGATGACTGTTGGCTGGCATGTCGTGGGTCTCTGGAACTGTTTACAAGCCAAAGACAGAGCAGGTGGCCAAGGGGGAAGGGAGGGCTTCAGAGAAAAGGACGCACACACGCAGGAGACTGTGGGGACACTGAGCGAGGGGCCCACTTCTTTCTGCTGACAGTAAATATTACTGCACATATCTCTGGGCCTCTTGGGAGAGGTGCTCCAGAAACCCTTCACAGTCCCTGGAGACAAACTAAAAATAGAGCCGAGAGCAGCTGGCTGGTCATAGAAGGTTGTGGAGACATGACTCGGCTTGGGCGGGCCTGGTGCAAGGGATGCCTTTCTGCCCGTGGTGTTTCCAGCGGGAAGCCTCGAGCGGCTTGACGCCCGGCACCCTAAATGTTGCTGATGGGCCCATGTCCAGTAGCCTCTCCCCAGCCAGATCCGCTAGCTCAGGGCCCTGAGGTGGATGGGAATGGGAACTGCCCTGCCCCCAGGGCTGGAGGACAGAGTGACCACACTGCTCACTGCCCATCACACCTGGGCTGAAGCCACTGGGAAGGGAAA